ATTCCATTCAGTATAATTACCATGATTATATTGATGCCTGGTTCAAGATTTTCTTGTACCAGAATGAAACCTTTAGTCATTCTTGGTTCATTTCATTTGATCAAAAATTCAAATCTGAATTACCTTCCTGGTTTCTGAGATGGTGGACTCATTATGGTGCCATTTCAGACATCCTCCCTGATAACCTTCTTGATCTAATCAACTATTTTGCTACTGTTTACCCATTCACCACTCATCAGAGATCATTCCCACTATTGTTAATTTTTATAGCCAAGTATAAAATCCCTTGGATATTCAAATCGCATTATGGGATTGATGGTAACATAATTATCCGACATCACTCAGTCAAATGGTGGGCTAAATTCAATTTGCCCCGCATATTTGAAATTGTTTATGAAGAATTCCCACTTGATCAATGTGCTCCAACTCCTGCCATTGCTAAAGCCCTGCAGAACCCAACTGCTGCAATTACCAAAGGAAGTCAGTCCAGTCTTCCTCCAGTCAATCTTGGAAGCCCCTCATCCAGTGGTTCCAAGCCCAAATCATCCAAATCAAAGTCCAAAGCTGTTGCTGCTCAACCAGCCCAATCAAAGCCCAAATCAAAATCCAAAGTCCAGTCCAAGCCTATTCCACCTCCGGTTCAGAACAAGGACAAACCCAAGAGTAAATCCAAGACAGCTAAAGCAGATATGATCCAATTGGCCCAGAGACTTTTGGATCAAGCTAAAACTCAATCCTCCAGTTCAGAAGAAAGTTCAGACACTTCAGACAAAGTTCACTCTTCTGAAGAATCAACTAATCAGTATTCGGGACCAGAGTTTCAAGATGCCCAAGACCCGTTTGCCTAGGATTCCATATCCATACAAATTAGCTTCAATCAATACTCTTTTGAGAAAAGCTGCTAATTTGTATTTATATTGATTCCTTTATTCACATGTTCCACCGAAAGTGATGAATAGTAAAAGTTACTGTTCACTTTTACTGTTCACCGTCACTATTCAACCAATCAACTTTTGCTAAAGGCTGATCAATTGTGCAATCACTCCACCGAAAGCAACCGACAGCATCTACTTTGTCCCATGCTCTGCCAGCTGCTTTCATCAGTCACATGATCACTGTTTTACTTTTATTCCTTTATATTGTAATCAATTGTAAGCACTCAGGCATTCGTCAATTTTTCTTCCCCTTCATTGTTGTAAGAAAACCAGAGTGTGCTGAGTGCATTTCAAGGATCTCCCCTTGTACCTAGTTAAGATCCTTGCAGTTGCAGTTCTTGTAATTGTAAGTTAATTTCATGATTTAAATGTTTTAATTAAATGTTTTAATTAAATGTATTTTATGAAATAATTAAATGTTTTAGTTAAATGTATTTTATGAAATAGTTGAATGTTGTGCATTTTGATTCTGTAATCCATCTCCTTCATATATGTGCTGCTTCCGCCTTCATATATGTGCTGCTTCCGCCTTTTGGTTTTAATCACACTCCTAAAGACCACACTTTAATAAAACTTAAAAGGTGTGATTAAAAAACATACATCACACCAAAAAAGTGTGATCTTTATCTATATTTGTAGTAGTGTCTGTTTGAAGAAAACCTTTGGCTACTGATTGAGCCTTGTGTCTGGCTATGGTGCCATCTGAATTTTTCTTAATTCTGTAAACCCATTTGCATCATATAGCTTGTTTACCAGGAGGAAGAGGCACCAAGGACCAAGTGCCTTGTCTTTGGAGAGCTGCATACTCATCTAACATAGCATGTTGCCAAGCAGGTGAAGCAGCAGCCTCTTGGTAAGTTTGAGGTTCAACATCAGCAGCAGAGGTAGGAGGAGAGGCAACAGTGAAACAAGTAAGATTTTTAGCTTTAGATCTTGTAAGCATAGGATGAGGATTAGTGGGAAGACAAGGAAGATCAATAACTATAAAAGAGATAGGAATTTGAGATGTAGAAGGAGGAATGGATGAGTTAGAAGGGGGTGAAACATAATTAAGCAGAGGCAGAACAGATGACTTTTGCTAAACAGAAACATGTGGGGAATGAGGCAGTGCAGGTGACTGTAGATCAGATAACTACTGAGAGACAGAACAAGGAATTTGCTGCTGTTGAGAAACAGATATAGGAGCAGAAGAAGGTGAAGGTAAAGTAGAGGTGTTAGGAAATGCTGGAGCAGGAGAAGAATGAACTTTAGAAGACAGTGAAGCAAACTGCTGGTCTGGAGAAGCATGCCAAAAGAAATCACTCAAAGAAGGAGAGACTGAAGAAGTAGGCTGAGATGATGACTGAAAAGGAAAGGATAATTCATCAAAGACAACATGTCTGGAAATATACACTCTCCTAATTTTAGGGTCAAGACATCTATATCCTTTGATAGAAGGTTGATAACCAATAAACACGCAAGGAATAGACTTGGTTTGAAGTTTATGTGATGTATAAGGCTTAAGCCAAGGATAGCATCTATAACCAAAAGTCCTCAACAGCTGGTAATCAGGCTTTTGTTTGAATAAAACTTCATAAGGAGTGAGATTATTTAACTTAAGAGTAGCATGCCTATTAACAAGAAAAACAGCTGTAGCAAGAGTATCAAACCAATAAACCAAAGGCAAAGAAGAGTGATGCATGAGAGTAATAGTGGTTTCTATGAGATGCCTATGCTTTCTCTCAACAACACCATTTTGTGAGGGAGTGTGAGGACAAGACAATTGATGTTCAATCCCTTTTTGTTTAAGAAAATCTTGAAAAACATTACTGAGATATTCATCTCCATTATCACTCCTTAAAATCTGAAGTTTAGTGACAAACTGAGTTTCAACAAAAGCTTTGAATTCAAGAAACTTAGCAAACACTTCACTTTTATAATGAAGAGGAAAAAGCCAAGTAAATTTGCTAAAATCATCAATGAAGAGAACATAGTATTTAAAATTGGAAACAGATGCTGGAAAAGAGCCCCATATATCAGAATGAATAAGGGCTAAAGGTTTATTTACAGTAGCATTAGACAAAGAAAAAGGCAACCTATGGCTCTTTGAAACACAACAATGTTCACAAAGTGGAGAGCCTTTATTTCCTAAAATAGAAGACTTAGGAACTAAGTTGTGATGAGTTAAGATGTGATGCAACTTCTTGGAAGAAGGATGTCCAAGTCGAAAATGCCAACTGGATGTAGTGGTAGGAGATGTAGCAGCAGGAGAACAAGATAGGCAGACATGAGAAGAAGAATCAGCAATAGAAGATGAAGACACAGCAGTAGGTGAAAAGGATGACACAGCACTAGGTGGAGATGAGATGAGAGGGTAAAGTCCTTGAGAATAGAGGCCTTTATACAGGATCTGCTGTGTATCCTTGTCCTGAACGAAAAAGGAATGTTCATCAAAGGTAACAGTATAATGGTTATCTTTAGTCAGTTGATGAACTGAAAGCAAATTGGAAGAAAGAGTATGAACATGAAGCGTTTTGGTAAAATGAAAGGGAAATGAAGGTGTAGGAAGAAGACCTTTACCAATATGAGCAATAGGAAGAGTGGATCCATCACCAATGGCTACTTGTTTCTGTCCTTGATAAGCTTGATAGAAGGAGAGATGATTAAGATCATTAGTCACATGATTAGTAGCTTCAGAGTCTAAAAACCAATTGACATCTGTGTTAGAGAATGGAGCAGATGCTATATATGCTTTAGAGGGATTTGAATTGTGTGAGATCTGAGAACTAGTGGAGTGATCATTCTGAAAAGCTGTATCCAACCTATGCCAACAGTCTATGGTAGTGTGATTAGATTTGCCACAGATTTGACAGATCACTGAGGAAGTAGATGAATTGCTTGCAGGAGCATAGCTGTTGCTGTTGTAGCTATTGCTATTGTAGTTATTATAGCCTTGTCTGTCCCTCTGAAAAGTGCTGAAGTTACCTCTCTGACCTCCTCGAAACTTGCCTCAATCTCTGTCTCTGAAAGTACCTCTGCCTCTATAATGTCCTCTATGACCTCCTCTGTTAGAAAAATGACCTCTGTGGGTGTTGTAAGCAAAAAATCCTGGAGTTTCAGCAGCTTGCACATGCTTAAGAGAAGCTTCTACATAAATAGATTCAGAACAAAGGAGAGAGCACAGTTGCTCTAAAGAAATAGGACCTGATCTAGCACGTACAGTAGTCTTCAAGGCATTATATTCTTCAGGCAAACCATTCAAAATCAAAAGAATAAGATCTTCATCCTCAACAGGTGAAGACACTAAAGCAAGTTGATCATCTATCACTTTGAATTGATTCAGATATTCTTCTATTGTTACTCATTTCTTAGTAATCTTACCCAATTTGGTCTTTAACTGATGTATATGAGACCTAGAAAGAGAAGTAAATCTTGTGGCCAGAGTACTCCAGACTTCATGACTTGATTGACAATGAATTACAGAAGAGAAAATGGAGGGAGATAATGTAGCAGTGATACAGCTCAGCAGATGTGCATCAATAGTATTCCATAGAGTATAAGCTGGATTCAAGACTTCAAGATTCTGTGAATCAAGCATAGTGGATGAATGGCACACTTCAGATCCATCAACATAACCGAGAAGATTTGTTGCCTTCAAAATGTTTTGAAGCTGATTCTTCCACACTATGTAATTTGAAGAATCAAGTTTTGTAGTGACAAATGCACTGAGATTTGAGATTAACAAAGTCAGATTTGAAGGTAATGTTACAGAGACAGAGGAAGAAGAAGATGAAGCTACAGCAATGGTAGAAGCCATTGATGAACTTTTCAGATGCTCGTGAGAGTCTAAAGGCTCTGATACCATAAAGAGAATTGAGAAGATATTCAATCTTGATCTTTTTCCTTATTGTTAAAGTAGGAGCTACAACAATGCTTTTATACAAGTGATACAATATTAACCTCAGCTTAACCAGACTTATAACTACCTAATCAACTTCAGTTAACTGTTCTAACAATATAACAGCTTTTGATTTAATATCTCTAACAAACTAACTAATTACACACGTGCAGACTCAACATTCAGCAATGGACAGTGTAGGTTAAGCTTCTTGAACAGATTGAGCTTCTTGAATTGATGAGCTTCTTGAACTGCTTGGTCTTGAGGCTTAGCAGCAGTAGCAGAGTCATTATCACACCACTCCCTCTGTCGCTGGTTTCCCCAAACCACCATCTAAAGGTGAGAAGCCACTTAGCAGCAGTAGCAGAGTCTTTATCACACCACTCCCTCTGTCGCTGGTTTCCCCAAACCACCATCTAAAGGTGAGAAGCCACCAATAGAACACAAGCCACCCAAGGGAGAGAAGCCACCAATAGAGCACAAGCCTCCCATGGGTGAGAAGCCACCAATGGAACACAAGCCATCCATGGGAGAGAAGCCACCAATGGGTGAGAAGCCTCCAATGGAGCACAAGCCTCCTATGGGTGAGAAGCCACCAATGGAGCACAAGCCACCCATGGGTGAGAAGCTACCAATGGAGCATAAGCCACCCATGGGTGAGAAGCCACCAATGGGTGAGAAGCCTCCTATGGGTGAGAAGCCACCAATGGAGCACAAGCCACCCATGGGTGAGAAACCACCAATGGAACACAAGCCTCCCATGGGTGAGAAGCCTCCAATGGACCACAAGCCACCCATGGGTGAGCAGCCACCAATGGAACACAAGCTGCCTAAGGGAGAGAAGCCACCAACTCATGGTCACTATCCAGGCCACCCTCCAATGAAGAGTGGTGAAGCAGAAGTCAAGCTACCCAAGAAGATGATGCCTCCAACTCCATACAAGAAACCACCAACTCCTGAGAAGAAGCCTCCAAGTGTTCTTCACAAGCCTCCATCACTTATCAGCTCCAACTGAGTGACTTTGTTGGGCATATATCATATATATGTAGTTGTTCCATCGATGGAAATAAGAGCTGTTGCTAGCTGATCATATGTGATATTGATCAGTTGTTGTTACAGCTAGTAGGGAGCGTTACTTCTCTGTATCTTTCTTAGTGTGCTTCTTGTTATAGACATGTACTTACTTTGCTTGTAAATGATAATGAGCACTTATTTGCTAAGTGTCATCTGCAGTACTCATATTTTGGTTTCAATTTCTCTCCATTGAATTATCTTTCTGTCAGTTTCATCAAACACTAGTTTTAATAATGTTTTTTTTTGACAGATAAAAAAAAGAAAAAGAAACACTAATTTTAATAATGCTATGTGCAAACAACAGTGAGAATCAGGTAAGTCATCCATGTTTTATTAGTTCTTATATCCTATTTCACCCGATATGTAAGATTAGCAGGTGGTCGCACACATTTTGAATTGTGCTATTGGGGCACACATTTTGAATTGTGCTATTGGGGCGAAAGAACGATTGTCTAAGATTAATTCTCAATTATCTATTAAAAAAAACCGTTGCAAAGAAAAGTACACAAGCAAACTCATCCATTATGTGGATGGGTCAAGTTAGGCTGGCAACTAGTCACTCAGAGCCTGAGCCTACGGATGCTGTGATGACTCCACAGAATATCTTTTTGTTTTGTTTGACCAAAAGAAAAAAAAAAAATCATCCATTCTGTGAAACTAGCATGTTTTCGCACATATTTCGAGTTTGCACTCTTAGCTAGATCCAAAGAATTTACATACAATTTATTTTTGGTATAAAAAGAATAAAAACAAATGCTATGCGTAAAGAGAAGTATACAAACAAAAGATTGTTTTGAGAAATTGGTTAAAAATTAGCAAGTTTTTTTTGATTTTTTTAAAAAAATATACAAAAAAGTAGAGAGGTGATGTGATTCAAAATTGGTTAAAACTTAAAAATTAGCTTCAAGTTCCCAAATTAGGCCAAATTACTGTGTTATCAAAATGAATCTAAATCATTTTTATTGATACACTTCTATATTTTTTTTCAATGTGTTTATCATTTTTTTATTATATTTTATTTATCATTTAATATGATACATAAAATTTATTAAATATTAATAATAATAATGAGCTGTACTTGAATGGTATTAAATTTAATTAATTGTATCATATGATAAATGTAAATATATAATTATCTTGCTGGTAATTATGTTTACGAAGTCGAGTGGTATCGTGTCAGCCGTGGCAGCATTTTTGTTATCAAAGTGTGACATATTTGATTATCTAAAAGGGTAAGGGTAAGATTCATAATCACCCATTACTCTCAAATCATCACATTTCAAGTACAACATCGTCATCATCATGAACTTGCTATATACAACAGTTATATTATGATGATGGTGATAGAACTTTGCTTCATACCTCCAGTGGGAAGCATTTTTAATGATTTTTAGTATCACATGTCGGCTTAGAGATGACTGAAAAAAAAAAAAAATAATAAATTTTACCGGTCAATCACAGCCGACCCCAGCACCCCCGACAGGGGTCGGAAGCTTTATTCATGATGATATACGTAGTGATTAAAACACTAGTTCATGCAAAGTCAAATTGAGTTGACAATATTATTCACTGTAATTATTAATTTGTGATTTATTAACAGTATTATACTGGTAATTTTGATCATCAACCAAACTGGGTGTTCCTCCCTCCAACGCTGTGATACCATTTACTATATTTAGCCTATATGTTTGGGAAGTGGGTTTTGGGGTTGTTTTTTTTGGTTAAAATAGTCACAAAAAATAAAATAGACTTTTTAATCTAATAAGATAAAATATCACATCAAATTCATAATTATTACATTATTTCTTTCACAAAAAAATTAAAAAGTCTAAAAAGTCAAAAGTGTTTCTCAAACCAAACTTTTTAGCCCCAGGCTAAAATAAACAAAAAAGTCAAAAAGTCAACCCACTTTCTAAACGAAACCTTACTAATTATATCGTTACTATTGTACATCAAAGCGTAGTAAAATATCAATAGATCTTAATAGTTGTACTTAATTTCCAACAAGTGTTATTGAAATAAGTCATAGTAAAATCGTCGTTAAAAATAATTTTTTATAACAATCTTTTGCATATGTCTCTAAAAATTAATAATTAGTGGCTTTTGTCATGATTTTTTATAAATTGTTGCTAAAATTTATAATTAGTTACTTTTTCTGTGATAAAATTTTCAAATTGTCGTTGAAAGTTAAAAATTAATAGAGTTTTTTCGTGACTCTTTTTTTAAATTGTTGTTAAAACTTATAATTAGTGACATCTTTTGTGATAATTTTTAAACTGTCGTTGAAAATTAACAATTAGTAACTTTTTTTTAATAGTATTTGATGAAAAATATCATTAATTATCATAAAAATTATTGGATAATAAGTTCATCTGTTAAGACCTACACGTAAGTCCCTTGATTTAATTTATTTCGGATACCATTGTTATCATTTAAAAACAAAAACAAAAACAAAAACAGAAACAAAAACAAAAACATAAAACATAAAACTATTGTTTTTTTGGTTTGGACTGATAATTGTACAGATTATTATGAATATTTTTTATGTAGACATAGTTTGGTGACTCAAAGTTTGTTTGTAAAACTGGTCATTTCTCTAGACTAATTAGGTCAAGTTTGGGAAGACTAAATAAGTGTATTTTTTGACTTTTTATGAAATATGGGTTGGATTTAGGTTGAATTTGAAGTGATGTGTTAGAGAGGTGATGTGACTTAAATAAGATGATGTGACTTAAATAGAATAGTGACTTTTTTACTTTTTGAATTTTTTGGAGGATGCCAAACTTGGCCTTAAAAAGTAAAGTAGACAATGCTTCACATGCTTAAATCATAATTTTTTTATTTTTATTTATTTGTATATATATATATATTTTTAAGAAGGAAGTCTTATATGTGTGTTTTTTTTTTATTTATTTGATGGATAAAATAAATAAAAAGCAAAAGATTTGAACCAAACAAAATTTTAAAATTTTTTTTGAAAAATTATATCTTGAGATACAAACCAAACAAGTTATTTTTACCAAAAATACAAGAAAACAAAAATGAATATGACAAAACAGAAGAAGAAGACAATGATGATCAAAATGACGCTGATGTTAGAGGTGTTGCAAATCACATTATCGATCTATTATTAATCTGCATGTGGGTAATAGTAGGTACAACTTGGAGTCTTGAGTATGATTTTTTCAGGTCTTAAGTTCAATACTCACTAGTTGGTCTATTAGGATCAATTGAGCTGCGTATAAGCTGGTCTAGACATTTGGTTATAAAAAAAAAATTAAAAAAAAAAAAAAGGCTAGGTTTCTCTCTAGTCCATGATTGGATTGGAGCGTATTGTGCGCCCATGTGAGGGCCCACCACGGGTCCTGTTTTGATAATCTGAACCGTTCAATATGTAGAACTCGTCGAATACTTTATTCTTGTAACAAATCACGTTAATTAGATATTGATAACTATTTGTTTGAATTAGATTTCTGTCAACAGTAAATATAATTTTCAAAATAAATTGTTGACAAAAATATGATCCGATCAAATAGCTACCGATATCCGATCAACGTGATTTTTTATAAGAATAAAGTATTCAACGAGTTTTATACATTAACGGTTTAAATTATCAAAATAAAACCTGTGGTGAGCTCCACGGATTCAATAGTACAGTCCAATTCACTTTGTGAACCGGAGACAACCGGCCCAAAAAAATTAGTACAGTCTTTTTGTTATAACTTATAAGTTGTGATATTTTTTAAGTATATCTAATTTTTTTTTTTTTTGGGTGTGGGTAGAAGTTTGAGTCTGAATATGTTAATTTTTTAAGTTTATTTAAACTAGACTCTTCTAATTTTTTTTTAAAAATTAGTAGATTTTGAAAGTTCACAAAAATAAGCATTTTTTATAGATTTTTTTTTTTTGGGGATAAAATTTGATTTATTCCCATCTTTCATGAATTGTTTTTTCAATTTTTTTTTTTTAAAAATAGGAACGTTGATAAGAATGTACCCAATTTTTAAAAGAATTTGTTAATTAAAAAAAATGACTACACACACACAAAAAAAAAAAAAAAAAAAGGTCAAATAATTAGTTGGTGCAAAGAATCTAAAATGCACATGTTACTGTAGCTTTATTCTAGATTCGATGAGGTCACGATCAGGAATGGGAAACGACTCTCCATTGTAGGCGGACACGTGCCATGTTCCCAAAGCGCTAACATGTGACAAATGAAAAATACCTCACACCTGCAGTGGGTCACTTGGGGTTATGAATGGTGGCTTCTCATTGGTTAAAAAAAAAATAGTTTAAAACACTAGTTCATGCAAAAGTCAAATTGAGTTGTCGTCGTCGGACGTGAAGGTTTGTAGGTGCTGTCTTGCGCGCTAGACTTTTCTGCATGCGCGTCGGAATCACCAACCTGGTAACTTCTGGTAATAGATATGGACTGAGTATGTCGCCGACTCTGGCCGCCTGAACGACGGGATGGGGTGCGCTCACTGTGGTCTCCCACTCCAGCTACACCCTTCCCTTTGACATGCCGCTTCAGATCCTCCATCTCCGCTGCCATTCGCCGGATGACAGCGTCTTGTTCCCTCAACTTATTTTCCAGACGTCTGGCGTGTGAGTCTCTCTTCCGCCGGTGACTGTCTGGACTCCGTGAATGTCCATGACTTCTTCCGCGCTTATCCCGCGCGTCTCCTGACTGGCCTCCGGTGGGCGTCCCCAAGTCCGCCATTGGATGGATGGCGGGAGGGCCTTCTCTCATTCGGGTGAACTCCGGGGTAGCTCCATCTATGGCAGACAACGGAAACTCATCGTTGTTCGCCATGGACGGCGATCAGATGAACTTGGAAGACAAGGTTTTGTCTGTCAAGTTTCCCACAGATGGCGCCAATTGTACGGGGAGCAAATATTCCGGCAAGCCCGTACTCCTTTCTTCCGAGCTCCGTTTATGTCCGATCACCTGCG